AAGGAAAGTGATTACATCAGAAAGAAAGTAATTACAACAGAAAGAAAATGAAAGCATCTTTAAAAAGTGATTAAATATTGAAAAAAAAGTGATTACATCGGTAATAAGGTCCATACATCGGTAAGAAAGTGAATACATCGATAAGAAACTGACGGAATCGGTAAGATAATGATTACGTCATCGATAAGAAAGTAATTTATCAATAAGAAAATGACTACATCGGTAAGGGTGACTACATCAGGGAAAAGCATTTCGAACTTAAAACAAACGAACGTATATTTTGACCTTAAATTAAACCCATGTTAAAACGAAAGGTTAAAGGTTAAATATCAGCCTACAACAACTTTAAAAGAATAGTGACTTTGAATTGACACTTAACGCTTGGCTCGATTTTAACTGTTGGATAATATATAGAAATAGAAAGTAGATTAGTAGGTCCCATAACTCTATTTGAATTTTAAGTCTAATTCTGTCAGATGCTATAAAAGAAAATATATAGAGTTACTTCTCTTTTTTATACATGTTGCTCCATATGTGTTTATGAATGTTTGAGCGCCGGATTTAAGTTGAAAGTCACAGGGTACAGAGTACTTGATACATTATAATGCTCTTTATAGTAAATAAAAAAAAAACAAGGTTACAATGACAGTTTGTGTCGAAACACAAACTCAAAATCTGCCCCCGAAGTGGTCCACTTAGGCAGATAAAAAGGCAGGTGTTTATATTTTCAGAAAGAACATCAGAATGAAATTCTATCAAAGACAAATGGCAGAAAAGAAAGGAGAATAAGGTTGACAGATCTTGCGTGGTGCCCCAGCGGTCCAGCTGACCAAAGAATAGGTAAACGTGAAAATGAAGTTAGGTGTGAACCTGGCCTAACTGATGTCTTATAATGAATATACCATTGCTCTAATTGTTTTGTAAAGGGGCAATCTCTTATTCCTCAAGAAAAAACATTTACGACAAAAAAAAATTCCTTTAGTTAAGTGTTCTTTAGCTATAGTGCATCGCTGCATTTCAAGCGATAATATGAAAAACTACTTATTCTATGTTGTTTTAAATAATGTTCAACTTATATGCATCCTTTTTTTTTTTTTTTTTTTTTTTTTTTTTTGTAAATGTAGTAGTTAGTATAACAGAACTTACTTAACTTAAACAATACAAATGTAAAAAAAAAATTGACAAAAAATCTAAAACCATTTGCATAAATGTGTTAAAAATATAAACTACCTATACCATCTCAAGTATAGAGCCTCCCGTGATTGTTAATTTCAGAAAAGAAAAAAATATAGCCGTTGCAGCAGAACTTTAAATGGTCTAAAATATTATGATGTCGGATTTTCACTATCTTTTCTAGTTTACGAGATCTAAACGGGACGGACGGACGGACAGACATTCCACACAAAACTAATGGCGTCTTTTCCCCTTTCGGGGCCCGCTAAAGATACAATAATCTAGCAAGGTTTATATCCTTTTTTTTTCAAAGATTAATATTTTATTATGTTTGTTGGAAACTTTTCATAAATTAAAAAAAATATATTGTAATTTTAAAAAATTCTTTTTATAATAGCATATCTTAATTTAGGTTGCAAATCAAAAAAATGTCAGTGCAAAATAGATTAATTGCCTGCTAGCCTAGTGGCTAGCATTGTTCGAACTAGGAGCTGACAGTGTCAAAATCATGAGTTCGATACCCGGATTTTTATTGTAAAATTTGATCGACTGATTGTAAGTTCGGACTACAATAGTACACATTATCTCAGTACGTCTATCTGTCTGGGTGGATTCTTTTACATTTGTTTTTCTCCCACTTCGCAAGCAGCTTGAAACTTCACACAATTATTCATTGTTCATGACAACACATAAGAAAAAACAACAATTAGTTAATCAATTAGTGGCGAATAATGATTTTTTTTCTAAAGAAAATGGGCAGATATTGAAAGATATGGCCGCAAATGAAGGGTACTTTCCCTTTACTCAATATAAGCTTTAAAAGTATTTTTGTTTCTATTTGGTTGGTCACTTACTTGGTATCACCAAAGAAACGCACAGCTGTGTGACACTCCCTGAGACAGGGGAAGTAAGTATAGACCTCACACCGAGTCAGACAAGAGTAACTTCCCCCTTCCCAACGACATTAGACCGGCGAGAGCTTAGCGACTGGGGGGGGGGGGGGGAATGGCGTCGATTTCTGGACTCGGAACAATACTTTGCTGGTTGGCACTGTCAGGGCGCCGCTGACATGCTGGGGGAAGGATGGACATTTATATTCGAAAGTTGTATATTTCTTGGACGCCACTATCATTCCCCCCCCCTTTTCAATTTCCCGCGCCCACTCCTTACCTTTTCTTTGAAATTCTCATGACTGTTGTCTTACAGCAAGGTGAAGGGTATTTCCTTTCAGAGTTGTGTATCGCTTATGAAGCTTTGATGTTTTAATATTTCTTCTATGTTCTTTATGCAATAGAATACAGTAAGAGAAAAAAAGAAAAAAAGCGATGTAAGGAAATGTAGTGGCCATACAATGGAACCTACAGAACAACGTAAAAAAAAATGTTCCTGTCTAGGCCTTTTGCACGAGATGATTTGAGACCCTCTGATGATGACTGATGAACGAAGCCATTAAAAGATCCCTGCTGCCAACTTAGCAATTAAAAAAAAAATTTTGAAAGGGCTTTAAAAATTTGTTTCTACAGTACAGCAAAAAAAAAAAAAGCTTCAAAATTATTAAATAATTTTTTTTTTAAAAGCTCTTATTACTGTTTCCGTAATCTGTACACCAGATACACCAAAAAAAAACAACTGATTTTTTTATGGAGTTGCTTCGTTGTATGAAAATGTCCAACTGACATTACCCGTTACAGTCTATCAGTACACAGAGAAAACGTCCGTTGATTTGCTCCCAGGCTTTATAGTGTTTATTTGGAGCAGATCATCTTTTTTTTTTGAGCCTCCAAATACCGTGGCGTATCTTAATGATTCCCTTCATGCACTCTCTCGAGCCTGGAATATCTCTTGCATTGAATTGAAACGGCCCGCTCTCTTCTTTCTTTCTCTCTCTCTCTCTCTCTCTCTCTTTCTCTCTCTCTCTCTCTCTCTCACTCTTGTTGATGGTCTGTGTTGATACGTAGATCTATGAATGTTGATGTTGTAAGCGAGTTCGTTGAAGACTCAACAACAGATTGAACAATGGGGATAAACTGAATAAACCACTGCTGATAAACTTTAACCAATTTTAATCTATAAAGAAAAGGGCAACACATTCCTCTGTCGTTGCTAACTTGGTGGCGTCCTTCTTGGCCGTTACTACCCTGTTTTTCCGATCTTACTTTTTAATTTCTCGTCACGTCACTACGGAAAAACCCAATGAACCCAAACTTCTACGCGTCGTGTCATCACACTCTATTCTCTCTAAAAAAAAACAACAACATACTTTTGCCCAGGAAATGCTAGTATCACTTTTACCTTTTCCAAAGTCCCCTCCTTTTTTCGCCTCTAAGCTTTACATTTAGACTGCGGCCTTTTTTGGAAAACACCGAAAAATAAAATACAAAGGTTTGATAGAAACTATTCGGTTTTTCGAAAGTTGCGGCGGTCAGGGTTCAAATCTGTCAACACAGTTTCTTAGCGAGCAACTAACAGGTAAAAGAAACATGTATACGCAATTTCATGCGAAAACGTAAGGCAATTCACGAGATCTCTTGATACATTCATAAATTAATAAATAAATCAGTTAGTGATGATATTATTATTATTATTATTTTAGCTTTTATATAGCGCTGCTTTCATGCTTATAGCATGCTCAGAGCGCTTTGGTCCAATCTCATTTGTGGACCAGTTGGGGGGGGGGGGGGAGCGGGTATCTAGGAATTGGTTTTCCGTGCTTCCCTTAGGCGTTCAGTAAACACAACTCTGCCCCTTCTAGGTAGCCAAGACAAGCCAAGTCCACGCTTCCCATATAGATAGATAAATATCCCATTTATCAAGTTTTCATTCTCGGCTTTTCCATTAGCATTAGTCTATTAGCCAGTTTTGGCTTTTCAGGAGAATGGATGATCATACCTAACGCCAGATAGTTTCAGCTTTGCTACAAAGTTTCATGTGACTGCAACAATTTTGAAAGGCTTGGCCTGTTGTATTTTTGCAACATTTAGGAGTGGAATCCCCAGAAAAGGCCTTGAACTAGTATTTGATATTGTTTCGTCTTGGGTGTCTTGCCACATGGTATCGTAATAAAGACATTATAAACAAAGAAATCTATCTCAGAGAATAAGAAACAGACCCGGGTGAAATCAGATACGAAAACAAATCCTTCTCCGCCAATTTGTTTCAGTTTAATGTGGTAAGGTTTTTAAGAGTTTTTTGTTTGTTTGTTTTTTTTTACTTCCTCTTTCAAATATTAGCGAGAGAGAAGAGGTTCAGAGCTTGGACAGCAGGAAAAGTACATTGTTAGAATCTAAATATACAGCTCAGGGTTATGGTAGTCACTGGTTGTGTGTTAACAGTGTTATTTAATAACCTGCCCAGTGTGCGGCCGAACATTCCGGGCTCACGTAGGTCTCACCAGCCACATGAGGAGGCATGAAACCCCAGTGCAAACCCCCTCAGACCCCTGGATGACAAAGTGGTCATCATCGAACCACGATGGACGAACTATACATTAGACATTACTTGGCTGAAGATATACTTTAGGGCTAACTTAGGACTTTAGGGTTTCCAGGTTTTGTCTGTAAGTATACCTCCATTTGTGTGTGTCTCTCCCTGTCTCTCTTTTTCTTTCTATGTCTGTCTCTCTCTTTGTCTTTTTTCACTCTGCTTCTCACTCTCTGTCTATCTCTTTCTCTCTATTACCATCTCTCTCTTTTATGATTCTCTCTCTCTCTCTCTCACGCTCTCTCTCTTTCTCATGCTTGTTCTTATTTTCTCCCTCGGTCTCTCTTTCATATTCTCTCTCCCACAATCTCTCTCTTACTCTCTCTTTCTCCCTCTTCCTCCCAATGCATATTGATATCTTAGAATCGAGCTAGTGAGAGACAACCGCTCTTGCTTATTCTTTCACTAACTCGATTCTAGGATATCAATATCCATTAAGAGGAAGAGGGAGAGAGAAAGAGAGAGAAAGAGAGAGAGAGAGAGAGAGAGACGACTGGGTTCCTTCACTTGTACTATTCTGTACACTTTACAAGCTTCCCAGTTGTACTATTTTGTACACAACAATTCAAGTTCAAATCCGAGTCTTTAGTGAGATTCGAACCCATAGACCCTCGGTTCAGAAGTCAAGCGCTTTACCACTCAGCCACCAAGCCCCACTGTTGGGTCTTAGCCCACACTTTGATTCATCACTGACACTGGCTTAGTGAAGGGCGTATTGTGAACCGTAATCCAAGCCCGGATAATTCTAGAGAACCGCTATACATCTTATTGATGCTGGTTTATTTATACGTACGACTCAAGCCAGACCAATCGTTGAATACGTCATGACATGTGACGTGGCAACGAGCTATTGGTCTAAACTGCCCACAGTTGGCGACGTATGTGTTCAGGCCTTCTATAACGATTTGCCACGGCTCAATATAGTTGAAAAACTAGCAAAATATTAAAAACATTATGTAAGGGAAAGAATGGCATAATGACTGTCATATATTTCTATACTGCAAGACTAATCTGCCTTTTGCTTATAATAAAAATAATAAATTTCCACTAATTAATTAAATAGTTGATTAATTTTTTGATTAATACATGCGTTGTCATCGACAATGAATAACTGTGGAAAGTTCCCACTTGATCTGAGAATGGGAAGTGGGAGAAATAAATGTGTAACAAGAATCCAGACAGACAGACAGACATAGTGACTTGATATAAGCATTTTTTTTTTATGTTTCAGTGCTTTGATAGAAATTTATTTTTGAATGAAAAGGCAGGAGATGCGTGCAGAGAGAGAGATAGAGAGGGAGGGAGGGAAGGAGAAAGACAGAGGGAAAGAGAGGGGAGGAGAGAGAGGAAGAGAGAAAGAGAGATAGAGAGGAAGAGAGAGTGAGAGATAGAGAGGGGGGGAGAGAGAGGAAGAGAGAAAGAGAGATAGAGAGGGAGAGAGAGAGATAGAGAGGGGAGGAGAGAGAGGAAGAGAGAAAGAGAGATAGAGAGGGAGAGAGAGTGAGAGAGAGAGAGGGGGGGGAGAGAGGGAGAGAGAGAGGGAGAGGAAGAGAGAAAGAGAGATAGAGAGGGAGAGAGAGGAAGAGAGAGAGGGAGAGAGAGAGGGAGAGAGAGGGGGGAGAGAGAGGAAGAGAGAAAGAGAGATAGAGAGGGAGAGAGAGATGTAGGGAGAGAGAGAGGGGAGAGAAAGAGATAGGGATGGAGAGAGAGAGGGAGGGAGAGAGAGATGTAGGGAGAGAGAGAGGGGAGAGAAAGAGATAGGGATGGAGAGAGAGAGGGAGAGAGAGAGAGAAAAGAAATAGCGCCCCTTTCCGGTTATCTTCTTCTCCTCAGCCACTCCGCATCCCCCCCCCCCCCCCCCTAAAACCGTCGGCACAGAACACTTCGTGTTAAGCCACAAGGGTTAGGAAAACAAAACAAAAAAGTTGTAACAAAAAGTCTAACTACGAAACAAAAGTCTTCCCGTCTTTGAAGTATGTGATAATGAGACGGACTGTCAACAAAGGCCCTCCACAGAGAGTCAATGTCAAAGACACGTAACTGATACAAGTGGGACATAAAGAGACTGTCCCGGACATAAAATGGCGAAGTGTCAGTTAACTGTATTTACAGCGGTCAACAGATTGCGTCAAAAGGTGAAGTTGATTAGCAGACGCTGGGAAATTATTCTAACTTCCGTCCATTTCGGGAATGGGGGGACTGATGCAAATTAAAAGTATTTGTAAATGACATCATGGGAATGCCAAATGGGTTTCAAATATTCTTTTTTTTTTTTTTGCCAAAAGTAAATCCACGGCTAAGCGGTAAAGCGCTTGGCTTCTGAATCAGAGGTCGCTGGTTCGAATCCTGGTGGTGACTGGGATTTTTAATTTCAGGATTTTTGGGCGCCTCTGAGTCCACTCATCAGCTCTTATGGGTACTTGACATTAGTTGGAGAAAAGTAATGGCCACATGACACACTCGTTAACCGTAAGCCAAAGAAACAGATGAAATCATCTGCCCTATAGACCATATGGTTGGGTGGCTGCCTGGTCGTGCCTGGTCGTGCGGTTTGCGCGCTGCACTGTCGTTCAGATTTATCGATAGTCCCGGGTTCAAACCCTGCCCGCTCCCATCCCCCATCGTCCTGCGGGAGGTTTGGACTAGGAAGTAATTATCTTCAACTCTGAAGGAACATCCAAAACGTAAAACATTTTACAAACAAACATTTTACAAACAAACATTTTACAAACAAACATTTTACAAACAAACATTTTACAGACAAACATTTTACAAACAAACATTTTACAAACAAACATTTTACAAACAAACATAAGGTCTGAAAGGGGAACTTTTTTTTTTCTTGGTTGGGACCAGCTGGAGTACGAAATATATACAATAACTACGTGAGAATACGTCAGATATGTATTTTAAAAAATATATATAAAGTATCAATACCTACTTTAAGTCCAGATAATATACATCCGTATTTTATTTGAATCCAAAAATAAAGAGACAGCATTGGGCAGTAGGAGAATTGAACCCGCGATATTTTATAGCGACGGTCTATCAGCTTCGCTACCCAACATCACTATTATGTGCGAAATTTTAGCTTGAAATTAAAGATACAATATTTTTTCCGACCAACAACCAACTTTGTTTTTCGCAAAGCTTATATCAACTCACTCTGTCTGTCTGTCTGGTACAACTGTTGTACAATGTTATATCTCCCACTTCCCTTTGTAGAACTTTATAACAAAACATGAATAAAAACAAACATTAGTTAATTAAAAAGTGGTAATTACTTTAATTTTGATTGATATCGAATTAAAGAAATAAATCTTACAGAATTGAGATTTTTTTCCCCTTAGAGAAGCTTTGCTTTTCTAAAAAAAAGTATTTTATTAATATTTTGATAGTACTTTTTTTTTTCTTTTTACAAGAAAAGACATTGAAGGTAGAATTTCGGAATTTACATGAAGAAGAAAAAGGCAACATAGTTAACGAAATTACACATTACATTAACCCTTTGAATGCATCTTGATGCTGACAGTCAGAAAACAACGCAATATTGCACCAATAATGAACAAAATTTAAGTTCTATGAACTCAGAAGAAAGAAAGTTTCCCAAGCAGTTGGAGAGACTCGCCCAGAACCGAGGGTCCTGGAAGAGGCTGGTTTGTTGGCCATGCCCTTGACGCGACCACATGCAGTGAAGAGATGAAAGTCCTTAACAAATATAGAAATAATCCAACAGGGTTGACCGCGCTTGTACACAAATGTATGTTGTTATTTGTCTATCTCGATGGTAAAGAATAACATTGGATTCATACATTTTAAATTTAAGATTATTTTGCGTTTGTAGTTGTACTTTTAACTTTCTTGTTATCTATCATACTGTCAACGATTTTGGTACGATGTTGGCTTTCGGCCGTGTTGCACACCTTTTCGTTCTTTCGTGGCCAACTAATACAAATTTTTATGTAACGGTTTTATGGTGTAGAGAATATTTCTAATATATGACATTAACTGTTTTATCTTAAGAGATGTAGACAAAAAAAATGTCACTATTAAGAATATAACAAATGCATGTTGTGGTTGAAATTTAGAACTCTATTTTTTTTTCTGGGTTAGTCGTTACATTTAAGCAACAAAGGCTAGCTTTAACATGGTCCTGGAGTTCAAGGTCAGTGTACAGGAGTCACGCACCAGTTGTTCTACCGAGAATTCAGATGAACAATAGATGTAAGACATTGAAACGACGAGATTTTAATAGACCGCCAACCAGTACAGGCCATGGATCATGTGACAGGTCATAGGTCATGGTTTCGATTTTCAAACTTTTCTGTGAACACAGTAAGTTTAATCTGGAACATTCCGGCTGGAAATCAGAAAAGCTACAAAATTTAAGATCCAAATGTCAGCGCTTGTGCTCAAATCCTTACTAGCTGTTGGTATTAGGTCTTTGGGTTGTATCTATCCCCAATTGTCTAACTTTCACGGAACTGCATTGCGCCCGTAATGAACGTAACTTTTCTTGAATGTAAATAACGTTATTAACTTCATTGTGGATGTGGTAGAGACCCACGTGAATTAATATCTTTAGAAATGTAAACCAAATACAAATTACAAATCACTCTAAACAAAAAAGAAATCCACGTTTCTCTGTCACTCCCGAAACTCCAGAAATGTCCACAAAGGTTCGAGATAAATACCTTTTATGAAACTTTGATTCCGGGAAAGAATCTTATCCCGTGTCCAGGATGAAGGATTGTCGCTTCACCGACTCATCTGTCTGGAGACACCCGTCAATGAGATGATCCTTTACTGGCATCCGTTTGTTCGTGGGTCACGGTCCCTTGAGCCAATGCAATCGACTCCTCCGTCCCAAGCGAGGCCGGAGGCCGAGCCCACGAGGGGACTAACTCCATATTCCTATAATGCACCAGTGCGTTCCGTGAGGGGGGGGGGGGCATCACCACCCGTATGGACCCAGCTTGGGAACGGTGCAATGGAAGCGGACGGGTTAGCAAGCCTTTCTCACATCCTCACCACATGTAAGTACACTGGCTAGAGCATAACTGGAGGCTGTGTTTGCTCACGTTCTTAGCATTACCGCTTCCGTTCGTTTCCAAGGAAGCGCCACGCTAAGGCGACGGGAGCTTGAATCACTCGTCTCCAGCCTGTCCTCTCACTTCTACTTTCGCTTCCATGTTTATACCCTCAACTAGGACAGACGTCCTCGTGGTTACATCAGAATCTATTGACTTGATAGAAACAAATTATCTGCCATAACTTTACACATGGGCACATCATAATCACGTACATGGGTCTACGCTGCATAACTCTTAGTTATCTCATGAAGATCTGGAGGCCTGCTGGACACGTGGTTTCTAACACGACGTTAGCAGGGGCGGACTGGCTATATGGGCCTTTAGGCAAATGCCAGGTA